AGGTTGCACGTGTTGTCCGAGTTGGCATATACGCGAAAAAAAAATTACTCAACATTTTCTTAAAGATTTTGCTATAAAAAACGACCCGCTCCCTTAAACTAAACGCAAACGCGTTTCCCTTGTTTCCTCTAAATGATGAGTATGCCCCTGGGATCAGTATGATTCTCTTTTCGTTTCAGGACCCAGGAGACCTTACCCGCCCGCGTATGCGAGCGGTGCCGCGGCGTCTGTTGTGTGTGTTGCGTCTCTTGGTGTTGCAGGGGCGGTAGCAGCGTTGCTCGCAGATGCGGTTTCGAGAAGAAAAATAAATTAAAGTTAATGTCGAATATAGTGGAAGTGTAAACTCATTGTAGGTTAGTGGAGTTCTTTTATTATTAAATATTTTGGTTATTACGCGTCGGGGGTGGCTTTATTTATGGTGATGTAAAGAATTGTACCTCTGTCGGTAGTTTGTGCGCCTGTTGTCAGATTGCTTACTGTAGTATTGTAGATAATATTGGAAGAGTGGGGGGATATGAAGTTATTTGAGAATGTATTAGTAATTTATTTAGTTGCTGTTTCATGGAGAAACTTCAGAATGCTAGCGAGGTTGTTTTGTTTTTTTTTAAACGTTGCAGAAGGTTGTTTCGAGTTTGCGGACGAAGGCAACACGTATAAATAGCCGATCCGGTGGCGGAGATTGCGAAGGCTGTAGTGCCGAAGCGATCTCGGACCGAAGGATCGCGGATTCGAGTTTCGTCTCGGACATGTTTGTATTGTGTTCGTCCTTTCACCCCCTATCATAATCATTATCATGTCATCCTGACAGTTACTATACCGTTACAAGCATTAGTGGTCGCTAATGACCTAGTAATTGACGCGACCTTAAATAACAAAAAAACACGGATAAATGGGATTTCTGCTCTCTGTAATATTTGTTGCTGTTGTCCATGCCTGGTAGGTATTTTTCCGTACTGCGTGTGCACTGTGGAAAGAAGGATTTTAGTGTTGTTGCGTTTTATTTTTGCTCGTAGAAGCAGGTCGATTCTTGCAGTGGTCCGCCCAGATGAGCTTTTCATCGAAAGTAATTCCAAGGCATTTGTTATAAATCCGCCACTGTATTGCATACCCGCTTCTTTCAATCGGGAGCGACTTTTCTTTGCGACTGCACGTGAATACGTCGACGGGGCGGGGCGGGCGGATAGGCGCGGCTGCGTTGCCCACGTGGGAGGAGGTACGTCCTGAAGGACGCGCGAATACAGCCATTTGCCTCGCATATATTATGACGTCGACTTCGTACGAAGAGATCAGTGCCATAGTGGTCTAAGACATATTGTAAGAAAACGGAGAAAAGTAACGTTACCTCGTATCTTCTCCCAAAAAATTCTGTCTGTAATTTTTTCCCTAAAATAAATAATTTGGAATTTACCTAGCATTAGAAAATGGTCATTTTAATTGTATGTATACTTGTTTTCGTACAATGGACCGCCTCAAAAATGGGGAAGTGAGCATTGGAGAGTAGGCGACAAATAACATACATGTGTTCCACAAATGGGGCAGTGGGCGCTCTGGAGTAAGTAATAAGTGTACAAAGATGGTTCACTTCTGTAGATAATAAATGGTGTGAATTACTCATTTTTATTTACGCGTCCTTACGAAGGCACTTCGTAAGAAGAGAAAGTTATGTAATCGTGCGCCGCAAAACGGCGAATTTTCACTAAAGGAAACTTTTACTACCGGGCCCTGGTTACAAAAAAGTGCATAAATCCTGCTGCTAAATATTAAAAAAATCCCCTAATCCGTTCCTGGTAAAGCCAGAATAAATGTTTGGTGTGTTCTTGATACCGAAATATCTATTGACGGCAAGACGTCCGTCGGTCCGTCCGTCATCAAAGTCGATGTTCCCCGAATGATCTGAATTATGTCAAAACATCGAGAGTTTGAAACGGATATTTTGATTTTTGAAGATACATGAAACGTCAAATTTTTTGTCAAAAATGTCATTAAATATTTTTATTAAACTTTATCCTCGGATAGCGTAAAGGACGCTTAAGAGAAGGCGGTGCAGGTCTCATTTTCGTTAAAATCCCTTTTTTTAAATTGCAAAAGTGCAATTTCTACGGACGTCTTCCTACAGCTATAAAATTGAATATTTTTTTCCCTTAATAAAATCTGTTCGTTAAACACGGATTTTTAAATAAATTCACGTTCAATTTTTAAAAATATTATTAGTTTTCCTGTAATTAGGCGCGAAAGACAATTTAAAAACAGTTTAACATTTTTTTGGTCAAAAACAGCTCCAAATTGTTTGTGTTTTGCGTAAAAGAATGGCGCGGGTGTCATTTTAGTTCAACTCTCTGAATTTTCGAAAATTGCTAATTTATAAATTGACGCGAGAGAGTATGTGCTGTTGAAGCACCATTCGTTCATTTTGGAGAGGTTAAACCACTGTTACGCTCAGCGCTTCAATTATTTTCAAGGAGGCGCACCCTTCGCTCCTGCGTACGCTCCTCTGTTTAGCGTTACCTAATGTATGCACGGCCCCCTTGGCATCGTTCTAATTGAAAAGTAGGGCTGCTGGGTCACATTCCGCCCTTGACTGCCGCAACGAACGGATCGCTCTTATCGTTGTGAACAGCGATAACGGTGTAACTGAAGAAAATCTGTGAACCAGTGTAAATCTTGTGGTCTGTGAAAAGAGTGCCACTAGTGAGTGCTACGAAGTATGTACATTGGGTAATGCCCGACATCGGGGCAGCTCATCAGTAATGCTTTAACAACAATAAACAGTTATTATTCCATCCCAGATTTAAACGTATCGATGTTGTACCAAGAAGTAACGGAAACTACCAGTGACGAAGTTAAATCAATGGAATCTCAACCAAATCAACAGATCTCAATGAGACTGCAAAACCCGGTCACAGGTAACGCTACAGGCCAACATGACGCTGGGCAAAATTTAAAGCGTCCTTCTGATAATAACAACTCGGCAAACGAGATAAAAAGGTCTAACCTACAATCAAAACAAGATAATATTCGTTTAGACAGTTTAACCCAATATTGTTATTCAACCAGATCCCAGCTATGAAAATTGGTTTAGTTACGTCAGACAGGGAGAGCAGGGAGAGAGAGAGAGAGAGAGAGAGAGAGAGAGAGAGAGAGAAGAGAGACAGACAGAGAGAGATGGCAGAGAGAGGAGAGACAGAGAGAAGCAGAGAGAGAACAGAGAGAGAGAAGCAGAGAGAGAAGCAGACAGAGAGAGCAGAGAGAGAGAAGCAGAGAGAGAGAAGCAGAGAGAGAGAAGCAGAGAGAGAGAAGCAGAGAGAGAGCAGCAGAGAGAGAAGAGGAAGAGAGAGAGAGAGCAGAGAGAGAGAGAGAGAGAGAGAGAGGCAAGAGAGAGAGAGACACACACAGAGAGAAGCAGTGAGAGAGAGACAGACAGACAGAGAGACTAAAGCGTATGCACGGTTGTTCGAAATTCTCCTTCCTATTCGTCTTTCATTCCCACAAAAAATATCTCCAAATGCATTATGTGCAATTCACATCATGAACCATTTCTGACTTCATTTATCATAACTTTTAGTATATAACACTAATAAAACCAATAAAAATTATTTTTACTGCTATTCATATACTTATTGTATGCTTGTTGTGCAAAGGGAGCGGATGTTGTCGCAAGAGTTACGTAATTATGTAGGGCGTTCCAGGTTAGGGATGCGACCTCAATGTCGATGTTCTCGAAACTTCTATGTTTTTTTATAAAACCATTAAAACCTTTTTTGAGATATCCATAAATTGGAATTCTTTCAGACCAAAGTGAGCTAGTGAAAAACAATTAAAATAGAGGTATCGTCGATAAATGCAGTATACACTATTTTTTAATAATAGATGAGTAAATACTCACTTGAAATTTTGACAAAAATTGAAAAAAATATCCAATTTAACACGTTTATAACCAACATCAACGTGGTGGGAAAAAATGTTTCCGAAATCGACCAAAAACATTCAATATTCAAACTTCGATTTCAGTGCACATCGACTTGAGAACGATAAGGATACAGCTCTGAGCAACCAAGTTCAAAATAAAAGGGATAAATCCGGCAACTTTGCGTGAGATCGTAGATTTTATGCGCGATAATGAGTGATGTTTTGATTTTTTTTTCCGAGTAGTTGCTCATTCTTCGTCTGCATATGCCAAATACAGGATCCTCGTGCTCGAACGAGAGAAGCTTTCCTGTGCTAGCGACGCCGGGTAAAAGATTAATTGCGTTCGACGATGCTGGAAAATCGACACAATCGTAGAGCGATATTGCACTTGTACCCAGAGTTATTTGAAAATCGATATTGAGATGAATTAATTTCTAAAAGCTCCAATCGAGCTAGTTTTCGTACTGTGACAATTTAAGGGTTGACCTATTCCAACTAAAACACCTTGAATAAATTACCGTTATCATATTTTTAATTAAGAAAACTTAAAAACAATGAAAATACATGGTACTACCCATCCGAAATATATAAGTTTCGCGTTTGACGATGCTGGAAAACCGACTCAATCATATAGAGATATTGCACTCGAAGCCATAGTTATTTGAAGATTGATATTGAGAAACGCAGACGAATTCCAAACGAGCCAGTTTTCGTACAGTGACATTTCAATCGTTGATTTATTCCAACTAAAAAACTTTGAATAAACTACCGTTATCATATTTTTAATTAAGAAAACTTAAATAAAAAATACATGGTACTACCCACCCTGAATATATATATGTTTCGCGTTCCACGATGCTGGAAAATCGACACTATCATATAGCGATATTGCACTCGAACCCAGAGTTATTTGAAGATTGATATTGAGAAACGGAGATGAATTCCAAACGAGCCAGTTTTCGTTCAGTGGCATTTCAAGCGTTGACCTATTCCAACTAAAAAACCTTGAATAAACTACCGTTATATTTTTACTTAAGAAAACTTAAATACAATAAAAAAAAGTACGTGGTACTACCCACCTGGAATTTATAAGTTTCGCCGGCCCTGTTCGGCCCCCAACGAAGAATAAATCCGAACGCGCTCGTTGGCTCTGTGCGACGCCGTCCGCGGCGCTGCCGTCGCTGCTATCGCGTCGCTTGCGCCACGCGGGGGCGCCGCTGCGCCGCCGGGCAGCGCGACATCCTCGCGCGGTGACCCCGCTCGCCCGGGTGATAAGGCGCCACGCCGCTCCGCCCCGCAGCCACAGCTCGGCTCGGCGCTGCCCCACGAAGAGGAGGACGCAGTGAGTATTTCGCGTTTCCGGCCGCGGCCACCATTTCGGTTCTTAGTCCCGTAAGTGTAGTGCTTGTGATGGACGATCAATCGGCTCGTGAGGTTCCCTTTTCCACGTATCTCCCCCAACCGGCATGAGCTCTAAGTTCCAGTCTGTTCTCCCGACATGTGTAGTGCATGTAAGTTGTACGTAAGGGAGGGGAGGGGGGTTGGACAAGAATGGGGAAGGGAAGATCGCACGAGATCCGCGGCCCGTTTGTTAGGGTCCTGCTACGACATTTGCTCGTATTGATCGGAGAAATCATAGAAACTCCATCTGCGTCGGGAGTCGTACCCTGAAACTCTTACCAGCGTCTGGATTCGCACATTCGGATTAGAGATGCTGCAGCGGCAACGGTTGTTGTCACTGAGCCATCTCGGCCAGTAGGCGCGGACACCGCCACTTGCAGGTAAGGCCACGTGGGGCCCGACACACCAGGAGGGCTGATGTGCTGTGTGAAGAACAAACGCTCAACTTGGTGACCATCACGTCCTTCGCTGTGTCGTGAGCGTCTCAAAAAGTTTGCTCCCCCATAAAAGATCAATATTTAAAAAAAAAACTAGTTTAATATTTGCAATTGCTGAAGTAAGCAGAGGCAGTTAAGCTGATAGTCTGAGCTGTAGTATTTACTCATATTATAATATAAGTGTACCGACGTCTAAATATATGCTCAAATTGGTTTCAAAAGATAACGACAGAGAATGTACTGATATTTGGATAGGGATGGTTATAGATTGGATATATATTACTGGATTTTACTGAATGAAAATACAGTAAAATACTTTTAGATGCATCTGGAAATGGAAGTTATTGACAGACATCCTTTGGGAGAATATTTGTGTATCGTGATGGCAGAACTCTATTACAATTACAAATAACCTTGGCATTAATGCAATAATAACTACAATTGAGTATTCCTCTTCTATGTACGTAACTACATTACAAATCTGATGATTACTGCGAGTATGGAGTTTCACTTCACTTGTTTATATCTCATTCTTTGCATTCTGAATTTTTCACTCCTTTACGCAACATTATTATTTGTGTTTTTAATTTTAATTTTAAAATAATAATAATAATAATAATAATAATAATAATAATAAATGGACTTACATACCTAAATAAGTAGAACTTAATAAATTATTTTAACGTTCAATAATTACTTGTTACACTTTTTAACACTTTTAATTCGCAATGACATTTACTCAGACCTCACGGAAAGAATTAAGCTTCAAATCTGTCATCATATCTTACTCTTAGAACCGGTCGGGTCATTCAAACATATGTTAGCTCTTGGAAATTCCCACAATAGTGACAGAACCAACGAGAGGGAGAAGTTAATTGAAAATGAACGATCTATTTATATTTGTGTGATAGGTATTGTATCATTAACTTCAAACTAGAAATGAATGTTCAAATAAATATATATTGGATCGTGATGAATGGAATGAAAAATGATACAGTTAGAAAAGAAAGACAAATTGTTTATACGTTTTCGCAATTTCATCCAAATTTTAATGATGTTTTGTTCAACTCAGGAATGGGGAGGCGGGTTAGAACTGAAACGTCGTCGCCAGAGAAAATGGTAAGCGTTTGAAGTTGTGAAGACGGGGCGGAGATTAAATTGAAATTCGTGGTGGCAGCAGAGATCGTGTATAATCCATAATTAATAAGCGTAAGAGATACATTAATCACAATTAGTTTCTATATCATTTAATTTTAAAATATTAGCCAAAGACGGAAAGAATTAAACAAAAAAGCAACATTTTTTGTTCTTCTTTCTAATTTCACTATATTCCAGCTATTTCCTTTAATGTATTTAATTAATTTCATTTTAAGGTTTTATTACTTACAATAATTATGGATAATTTGCTAGTTTCCTTCTTTGTGGTAGCACTGATGATGGGGAACATTGTTCTGGTGACATGTGTGGCTAATGTTTTAACATTAAACAACATTAAAACTAATTGTGATACATATATCTTTTTTTCCTTTTAATTAAAGCTAAATTTTGCTATCTTAGTTTTTTAATGGCCCTTGAGTAACAGCTCATAAAAAAATTGAAGGATTCTCAAACGTAGACAATTTTTTTTCGTACTGAAACTCGTCTGTACTCTGATATTTTTTCTTTCCCCTCCTGTGAAGGCGGAAATGTATTTGCGTATCGATGAACAATTTAGCCACTGCCTTGTGACTTAAGCAGCTAAAGGGGGCGCTTTGTCTAAGAAATTAAAATTTAGCGTAATTTAATGACGCAGTTAAAAATACATGCACTTTGGCATTCCTGACTTGTGGGTAATAAGATTGTTTTTAAAATTTTTAATCCTAAATATTGTGAAATGTTTTCTTTGAGGGTTCAGGTTTCTCTCTCGCTCTCTCTCTCTCTCTCTCGCTTTCGCTCTCTGTCTCGCTCTCTGGCTCTCTCTCGCTCTCTCTCGCTCTCTCGCTTTCTCTGGCTCTCTCTCGCTCTCTCGCTTTCTCTCGCTCTCTCGCTCTCTCTCGCTCTCTCTCGCTTTTTCGCGCGCTCTCTCTCGCTCTCTCGCGCTCTCTCGCACTCTCTCTCGCTCTCTTTCTCGCTCTCGTTCTCTCTCGCTCTCTTTTTCTCTCTCTCACTCTCTCTCTCTCTCGCCCTCTCTCTGTCTTTCTCTTACATTCACTTATTATTCACATTTGCCTACATTATATACATATATACATTCAACTAATTCACTCCCACTGCACTATTCTGCAATAAAAGTTTCCAACATTCGTTTTCTGTTAACCTAGATGAATTTAACGATACTCTCCGATCTCTTCTTGAGGTATTGCGCTGTCGCGATTGCTACCAGTTTTGAAAGATGACAATCGGCGAGTTGGAACACGTTTAATTGCGGCAAAGATGCACATTTCGGCCGTAATGTGTTATTACTCAAAACTAAACGGGCTCTTAACTGGTGTGATGAGATAACTGTGCTTTGGGACGTCATCACGAGAGAGCAGTTGTGTCGATGTTTCATCATGATATTTCATTCATTATCTTGAATTGTCAAAAGCGTCTCATTAAACACAGTTACGTCATTGATTTAATACATGAACTATATACTATAAATCGAGCACTATGAAAATAAGATGTTTCGAAAATCGTCATACTTATTAAGTAAATAAATATGTTCTGAAACTCGTCTCTTCTGACTTGTTAAAATTTCATTAAGTTAGTTTACCAGATAGCCGTTATCGGGATGGAAACTTTTTTGTTCGGTCCCGCACAGATAAACAATAACTACTACAAAATGGACATTTTGGAGATGTGCTCATTTCCTATGCACCAATGACATACCTACCATAAATCGTTTCAGTGCGTCAGAGCAGTGTGCGTATTTTTTATCGGAATTTCCTCGGATCAAGATATACTTTATGACCCATCTCGCAGTATTTCTAATCGCATACCCCCTCCCCTTGTGCTCTTTCTAAGTGTGTGATGGTAACTTTCGTAACTCGATACTGGATTCGGGTGAATCTGCGCCAACGGCCTAGAGTTTTTTGGCCGTTGGTGCCAGGATATCTCGTCTTTTAATATCCGAAAGACAACCAGAAATTAGCAGTTTAATCTTACGTGTTTCCCTATCCTCAGCTATCTCTGGAGAAACATCTCGCAGACCCGCGCGTTCTAGTAAAAGTTTAACTTTGTTCGACCAGTAGTGCTGATCGCATTCATGTAATTGTAATATTTTTTCACAGGCATCTCTATGTATTGAACCGGATGCACATGAAGTTGTAAGATCCTAACCGTGGGTTCTAGATTCGAGTCCTCACAATGATAGATTATGGTTAAGACTCCGAAACTTTGATGGCCGAGACCGGTCACAAATTGATACTGAAAGCAGGGTTTCTTCCCATGAATTCCAAGCGAATTTAAGAGCTGAGCTATACTACTGAGCTTTACTACTTTCAGAGCTGAGCTATACGTTTCCCTACATCCCTATATACTCTACTCTCTCTCTCTTTCTTTCTTTCTCTCTTTCTCTCTTACTTTCTCTCTTTATTTCTCTTTCTCTCTCTTTCTCTCTCTTTCTCTCTCTCTCTCTCTCTCTCTCTCACACACACACACACACACACACACACACACACAATGTCTTTCTTCTTCGGCCCGCCTCAGGGTTGCCAACTCCTGCTCCTCCCTTGGACCGCCAACTTCCGCGTAAGATTCCACGATTTAAGTAATTAATTGATTTATTTTTATTATTTATTTAACGTCGAAATCGGTTCAAAACTGTGTGTGATCTGCTACGGGAAGAAGTAAATTCTGTGCAGGATATCATAATTCTGTGATTCTTCCCTAAGACATATACTGGAAGAATTTTGAATACAGAAAAAAGTGAGCGTTTTTGTACTGACGTTAGTTTTTTATCAACATATCAACACACATATTATCAACATAAACAAGGTCACACTAAGCATAGAGCCCTGCAGTACTCCATTTTCCAGTATATATCTGTCTGATATAGATCCTTTTACTCTGACAGTAATGTACCGTTCTTTAATGAAGTTATGAACTAACTTAGCTATGTTGCCTTTAATTCCACGATTCGTTATTATGTCCATGATACGTCGGCGCCAGGCCATCTCATATGTCTTTTCGATGTCGAGGCTTAGCACCACTGAACATATTATTGACGAATTCATTGTAGATGCTGTTCTCAATTATTGCAATGATGTCTAAGGTGGATGGTTTCAGCCACTTTGATGGGGCGATATTACCTGATGTTTCTCTAGCATTTGTGATTGTGTTTCACTTACCATGTCAAGTAATTTACACAGGCAACCAGTTAGAGCAATATGCCTGCAGCTGGCTATTAAAAATTTGTCTTTACCAGATTTGTGAATTGGAACAATAACCGCTTCAGGCCACTTTTGTGGGAACACATTGTTTAAATATAAATAATTGTAAATGTCTAGAAGAACAGGGATAGCTTCTTCAGAGAGCATCCGGATAAATATGTTAGGTACTCCGTCAGAACCGGCGCTGGTTTCTTTTTGTTGACGTATATTGACCTTAAGTTTTCGGAGCGAAATTGGTTCATTCAGTAGTATGGTATCATCTTCTTCTACTTCCAGTTTTAGGGGAGATCTCTCAGTTTCTTCTTTATGTTTCGTGAAGCCATCTGCAATGTGCCATCATTAGAGTTAGAGGAGAAAAACTTTCGTAACCACTTCTTCACATTCCTTTGTCCACCAAGGAAGTTTCCTTGTACTTTTAGTATTTTTTGTTTTGGGTATAGTCACCTCGACTGTAGACAGTATAAGTCTGTGAAGTTGCTCAGAATATCGTTTATTTGTACTGAATCGTCCATGTTTGATTTCGTAAGATTCTGAACTTTGCCTGTGATGATGGCTTGGTACGACTTCCAGTTGGCCTTTCTACACATGCATCTGAGCATGTAGATGTTCTCATGAGAAATCTAATTCTCATATGTCAATGTTATGGGGTAATGATCATTATTGTAAAGGTCCTCCATCACGTTCCATTTCAGATATCTTGCCAAAGTTGGAGTGCTGGAGTGCAGATGCTTAGGTCGATGCAAGTTGAGTTGCCGCAGCCCGCGTTGAAGTATGTAGATTATATGCAGTCGTTCAAACCCATTAGATCTTCATTATTCACAAATTCACCGACAATTTTCCCTTTACGATCTGTTCTGCTTGATCCCCAAATCGAGTTGTTACTATTAAAATCACCGACTATCAGCACCGGGCCATATATTTCTGAGTATAAATTGTCTAGGTAGCGAAATTCTAGTTGAAATACATTTGGAATGTATTTATTACACAGGTGAAAGCTACTACCTTCAATTTGCAGCTGTATCACACATACTTCTAGGTCACTTGTAAAGGCGCATTCACTGCACTTGATCGACTTATGTACGTAGATCGCAACACTACTACTGGCATTTGCACATAGCTGTCTGTTTTTATAAAAACATTGATAACCTTTTCTATCAAAATGGTGCTTATTTTTTAAATTGGTTTCCTGTTTGAAGATCTTCGCTTGTTTTCATTGTTGTCGGATGATTCTTTTGAAGAATCGGAGTAGAGTGGGTCCTTCAGTTTCTTCATAATTCTGGTAAATCTTGATTTTATTCCTCTGTCAGAAAGTAATTTATTTTAGCATTTCAATTAGTCTCCCTGTCTCTTTGGTGTAACTGAGAGATATTTGAATGGAGTTACATGAGCCATAAATGTTTTCCAAAAAGTCTTTTAGTTGCTCATACGTAATTACATTGTTGGATCCTTCTATCCTTTCTTTCTCTGAGGGTTAGTTGCTCCACTCTGTTTTTCTTAATGCTGCCGCTACTAATGATATTCTCTCTAGATACCTTCATTTTCTTTTAGATTGTTTTGCCGCACCGTTAGTTCCTCCGTGGGGACGGTTGAATTGTCGTTCATGAAGTTCCCTTGAATTGTTGGGAGTGCTTGTGATCTGTGATAAGGCCCTGTAAACAGGATTGCCTTGGTCGAGTAAGGAAAATTCGTGGTAGCTACGTACCTTGTGTCTTTGACGTCTTGGCTGTCTGGGTGACGCCGCGTTGTTGGCTGAGAGGCCAACGTCGTTTCGCCAGACATAACGTAGGTTTCTTCAGGCCTGAAGAATCCTGCGATATGTCAGGAGAAACGTCGGCCTCTCAGCCAACGACGCGACGTCACCCGGACAGCCTGGAAGTCATGAACTGAGCCGCAGAAGCCTACGTGTATACCTTGTCTCTTTGATCGATGTCACGGACAAATGATCACGGACTACATTGATTTCAATAATTTCTTCCGATTGGTTGGAGTTAATGTCTCCTTTATTTTTGCAGTTTGTTTGCAATGTACTCTTCTTCCTTGCAGTGAAACCATTTAATAGTTTCGCTAGACATGTTAATCCAGTTTCTTTCTCCTTTGTATGTGATCAGTATGGCTTCAGGTATCTTGCTTAATGAGTGTTCCGGTACGAACACCTGTCTACGAAACTTAAGATATCAGTGAACTAGTCCTAATCAAAACCAGCTCTGAAAAATGACACTTGAGAATTGCGTATCACTTTCAGTTTGTCTAGTTCATCTTCAATTACTGCGTTAGGAATCGTAGAATAAATATTTGAAATTACAATACGCTTCTGTCTACTTACAAGAGACAGAATATTTTGGGAGGAGCCCTCTTGTACTTTTCAGTTAATTCGTCTACTAACTGCTTACTGCTCAAAAATACACACACCCTGTTATTTGGAATGTTTTATGCATACGTGATTGACTAGACGGAACAATCGTTGCTAAAGCTTCTACTTACCTTCCGAGAGGTGTGCTGTGGTCTTTACCTGCAATTATAATACCTTGCTCCTTCTCCGGGTACAAGGCATTGAGAACCACTCTATTGTAACTCGGACGGCCGGTCGCGTTTCCTTGAACGGGCTGGGTCCTGTAGTCAGAGGCATTCCCTCAGATAGTCGCTTTGATATCAGCCATTTATTTCCTGTCCCCCATTCACAATGAGAAACAGGTAGGTCATAATCAGAACAGTTCAATAAAACGCAGTAGACTGCTCACTTTAACTTCTTGACTGACACACACAGTCACTTTAACTTCTTGAGTTCGATGAAAACACGCACACATCGCGGAGCTATACTGAGCAGAGCTAGAGCAGAGCTGAGCAGAGCTGAGCGGAGCTATACTGAGCTCACGATGTTGCCTCAACCACTGCTGCCGAGCGATCCGGGGATGAAATTATGATGAGGATGAATGATAAAATAGACACACACACGTGTACAGAGACACTCACAACACAATCATGCTTGAGGCGGGACTCGAACCCGCGATCTTCTGGTCTGAGACCGCTACGGCACTAATGCCTTAGCAATCTTGGACGACATCATCATCATTATTATTATTATTATTATTATTATTATTATTATTATTATTATTATTATTATTATTACGGTTATGGTTAATACAATTGGCAGTGTTCGCGATTCATGGGGTATTTGATCGCGCTATCAAAATAGTTACATAACATGTTTCCAACTTCAATCTACAAGCTTGCACGAGTTGCCGTTGTAAAGAAATCGATGACAGCATGTCATCAGCAGTGCCATCGGGAAACTTAAAACTTGAACGAGTTCCTGACGCAAATTAACTCCTAACTCACCAAGGATGGCCGGGCTTCCCATTTTATGACGAAGCTCCAATGGTAGTTTCCACGTTGATCAATTCCAGGCGAAAGCCAGACCAGTGCGTTAACAAACGGAACACGAACCGTGCACGATCTTCCCTTCTTCGACCGTACCTAAGCATGCACTGCGCTACCACAGGAACGTTGGGAGACCAGGTGGAAGCGTATACTGCGATTTTTGCAACTCTGCCCCTGTTGACAATTTTATCAAATTGAGAGCTTAAACTTTGCCATGGTAATGTAGTGACGTTCAAGATCCCGATTGGATGAAATCGTGAACAGCTGATACCTGTCAGAGGCAAAGTTGCATATATCGCAGTATAGAGGTTGTCTTGGCTCGGGCGGTGCTCAAACGGCGGAGATATTTGAACGGGGAATCCCCTAAATGCCGAGAGGGGAATCCCCCAAAATTCGGCGTCCGGAAGGAAGCACGAAGTAAACAACGAACCGTCCACCAAACTGAGCACACTCGCTTAGCAGGGCCCTATAACTCCCATATAACTTGGTGGAGACCATTATGGTGGCGCGCTCTGCTGCATCACCTTCTTTACACGAACTAAAACACGAACTGCTGCCAACAATACTTGTGCGTGGCTGCTGCGAAAGTTTGCGGGTCGCAAGCAGGCCCATAATGTTACAAAAGATAACGTCTGTGTTCGCGCTTTCTTCAGAGTTTTCTTATAAGTATAGATTATGAATAATTGTACATTTAGAAGACGCTTCTCGTATTTTTCACAAATTAGCCAATTTGTATGTGGGGCAGTTGGCGAGCCTAATCTTCAGCTGCACCCAGCGACACTAGCGCATCCTATAGTAGCAACCGCGACCTTTGGCCCCGATTTTGATGGAGAGTTGCCGGGCCCTGCTCGCTTAGCGCGCACGCTGCCTTCCTGGTGTTCTGAATTGTGTTGTGCTGTAGCTGTCGGCGCAGCCCAAGGAGTCCAGCGGCGCGGGTGGGCGGAGTCCGAAAGGGGCGCGGAGAGACCCCGGAGGGCGATGGAGGCGGCGATGGAGGTGGCGGCGGACGCGGCGGTGGCGGCGCTGGCGGCGGTGCTGCTGACAGCGCTCCTGCCGGCGGCCCTGGCACTCGCGCTACTCATGACCGTCGGTGAGCTCTCTGCACTTTTTTTCTCCATCATTGCAAACGCCAATCAACATATAAAGTGAATGCATATCTATATCTATATCTCTCTATTGTAATATATTGTTGTAAAATAAAAAAATAACACACACACTATATATATATATATATATATATATATATATATATATATATATAGTGTGTGTGTGTGTTATTTTTTTATTTTTTGTTATTTAAGGTCGCATCAACTTCTAGGTCATTATCGACCACTATTGCTTGTAAAGGTATGGTAACTGTGGGTTGACACGATAATGATGATGATAGAGGGTGAAAGGACGAACACAATACAACCATGCCAGAGGCGGGCCTCGAACCCGCGATCCTTCGGTCCGAGATCGCTACGGCACTTCTGGCTTAGCGATCTCGGACACCGGATCGGTGTGTGTGTGTGTGCGTGTGTGTGTGTGTGCGTGTGTGTGTGCGTGTGTGTGTGTGCGTGTGTGTGCGTGTGTGTGTGTGTGCGTGTGTGTGTGTGTGTGTTTTTTACGTGTGCAGGGGAAAATCTTCTAAAGACACAGCGGGGCCCGCAACCCGCAGCGTGTGGGAT